AGTCACATCAGAGAACCACATAGAGCCATAATTGTTTTTCCAGTATCATTTTACTGATTTATCATCAGGCTTTTTCAGTTTCTGATGTAACAGAAGTTTTGTCTACTGATAAGTTTTTATTAATTTTAAGAGAGTACATATATCATCCTTGAAAAGAACATTAAGTCTCTTGCTTCCCACACTGCATACTTCTTTCTAATACACATTGAATTGATTACCAATATGGTGTTTTGGAAAAGTTTACCACTCCAATTTCATCACAAGTCTGTATAGACCACAGTACCTATACAACTTAAAATGGTGGTTTAAAATTTCTTTGACTTAATTCAAAACTATTGGACTTCACGTCTCTGATAAGATTGATGAGAGCTAATAACGTAACTGGGGTTTATAAGCCCATCTTTAGGGGAAAGTCATGGGATAGAATGTCTCCAGTTTCTCTAATTACATTAGAAAAATTTGGCAGGGGTACATCCCTTAAGATACAAAAGGATTTACATTGGCTGTTTTTAATCATTTTCTGATTATAGTATCGACAAGATACTTTTTGAATATGCCCTTCTAACCTAAACAATTCTTAATATAAGTTTCATATTGATTTAGCCCTTTTATAAATCGAATCTCTTATAATTGCTTCAAATTAACTATGATATCACACTAAATTCCCAAATCACCCTTTAAAAACTGTAGGAGGACCAAATAGTCCTAATATTTTATGGAATGGCTCCTCTGCAGAGCCTTTACATATATTACCTCATTTAATACTTGTGAGAGCCCTGGGAGGTACATATCATTGTCCTGATTTTATAGATGAGAAAACTGAAATTTGGAGATATTCAGGAACTTAAGGTTATCCAGGCAACACATGGCACAGCAAGCATTTCAGCCCTGGTGTGACTCCAAATTTCTTTTCTAGTACATGCTACAATGAAGGATGTTCTGAGAAATCTTTTTTGTTTTTTCCTGTTTTGGGATCAGTAAATTTTGGGGTGAGCCCTGGTGTGACTCCAAATTTCTTTTCTAGTACATGCTACAATGGAGGATGTTCTGAGAAATCTTTTTTGTTTTTTCCTGTTTTGGGATCAGTAAATTTTGGGGTGATACAAGAGACCACTGCCCCCAGAATGCTATTCCCTTTGGAACTCTTGGTTATTCAGAGGTGAGAATTCAGAGGCACAGTCACAAAGAATCCTCTCCCATCCTCTTCTGCTTATACACACTGCTAAAGGTATAAAGGAGAGAAAGGTTCTGAAAGAAAATCACTTCCTTTGGCCCCTTGATAACCATTCCAATAAAATATTTGGCCAGAAAGCAGGCAGAAATTAAAAGCTCTAAACTGCAACTGTCCCAGTTTCTTAACTTTCCAACAGATATTAGAAAGCTGAGGGCCGACCCCGCGGCACACTCGGGAGAGTGCGGCACTGGGAGCTCAGCGGCGCTCCCACCACGGGTTTGGATCCTATATAGGGATGGCCGGTGCACTCACTGGCTGAGCACAGTGAGGGCGACACCAAGCCAAGGGTTGTGATCCCCTTACTTTTCAAGACCTATGTTTAAATTTCATATTGTAGGAAAAACAAATGTATTATTCTAAGTGGTTTGATTCTAGAGGAATATCAACGACTTCACAGGTAGAATACAAATATCATTCTCACTTTAAATCTGAGTAAATACTCTTAAACACTTTCTAAATCCTATTATATGTATAAACTTAGCCTGTAAAGGTTGAGCCAGGTTGGCGGAGGAGTGTAAGTAAACACATCCTTCTCCCATAAGTACACAATATTGAATAGAAGAGAAAAGGGCTTTATTCTCTATTCCCTCAATCCCTCAATCAAAGACCTTTTAAAAGAAAAGGCAGAGTTAAAATAATAAGCCCAGTTCTATGATAAGGAACTTCCGTATTTGAATTTCATTGAATTATAGAGCTAGAAAGAGCCTCCCGGGATCCCATAACACCATCTCCCACCCCAGACCACCAGCTCACTTTGTAACCACAGCCTTTTGTGTAAATCTACAGTCTCTTCGGTGTCAAAATAGTGGGAACTCAGAGTGTCTCGGTTATTCTTTCCTGCAGTACATCTGAATTCTGATAACCTATTTTGCTCCCCATTTTTAACATTTCATTTATTATCTTCACTAATCACCAGTGACTTTTCAGAGGGAGGCAGCAGGGTGTAACAGAAAGAGCAGTCTCGGGGGCTCAATCCCTTAGTCTCATTTTCTTCATCTACAAAATGGGCATCAGTACAGGGGTTTTGTGAGAATTGGCAATGATCAAACTGTTGGCACAGTTCCTGGTGCCTGACTGAGCTCAGTAAGTGGCAGTTATTATGATTATTATAGTCATTCTGTAAGCAAACAGCTCTTATAAAGCATTCCCTTAAATAACCCTGCTAATAATTACAGACACGCAGTTTCTTCATCTCCTATCAATCTTAAACCATCTTAGAAAAGTGCTTTAGATTTAGCATATGTTTATCTNGCTCTAAACTGCAACTGTCCCAGTTTCTTAACTTTCCAACAGATATTAGAAAGCTGAGGGCCGACCCCGCGGCACACTCGGGAGAGTGCGGCACTGGGAGCTCAGCGGCGCTCCCACCACGGGTTTGGATCCTATATAGGGATGGCCGGTGCACTCACTGGCTGAGCACAGTGAGGGCGACACCAAGCCAAGGGTTGTGATCCCCTTACCGGTCACAAAAAGAAAAAAAAAAAAAAGAAAGAAAGCTGACTTCATTTGAAGGAAACACAAAAAAGGTAAGCAAAGTTGTTGACTTTCACTGTTTCTAGGTAAATCAGATTCACATGTAATGACACATTTTTATTTTAAGTCATGTACAGCCACAGTGCAAAGTGACATTCCACATTCTGAATGGGTAATTCCACTAGTAAATTCTCTGCAATGAGTTTCATTGGGCTGAAGCTTTCCAGGAGACAGGATTTTGTTATAGAGATTCTGCAGACCCACCTCCTGAACCAAGAGATATGTTAGCTTTCCTGTGGTTTTCAAGACCTATGTTTAAATTTCATATTGTAGGAAAAACAAATGTATTATTCTAAGTGGTTTGATTCTAGAGGAATATCAACGACTTCACAGGTAGAATACAAATATCATTCTCACTTTAAATCTGAGTAAATACTCTTAAACACTTTCTAAATCCTATTATATGTATAAACTTAGCCTGTAAAGGTTGAGCCAGGTTGGCGGAGGAGTGTAAGTAAACACATCCTTCTCCCATAAGTACACAATATTGAATAGAAGAGAAAAGGGCTTTATTCTCTATTCCCTCAATCCCTCAATCAAAGACCTTTTAAAAGAAAAGGCAGAGTTAAAATAATAAGCCCAGTTCTATGATAAGGAACTTCCGTATTTGAATTTCATTGAATTATAGAGCTAGAAAGAGCCTCCCGGGATCCCATAACACCATCTCCCACCCCAGACCACCAGCTCACTTTGTAACCACAGCCTTTTGTGTAAATCTACAGTCTCTTCGGTGTCAAAATAGTGGGAACTCAGAGTGTCTCGGTTATTCTTTCCTGCAGTACATCTGAATTCTGATAACCTATTTTGCTCCCCATTTTTAACATTTCATTTATTATCTTCACTAATCACCAGTGACTTTTCAGAGGGAGGCAGCAGGGTGTAACAGAAAGAGCAGTCTCGGGGGCTCAATCCCTTAGTCTCATTTTCTTCATCTACAAAATGGGCATCAGTACAGGGGTTTTGTGAGAATTGGCAATGATCAAACTGTTGGCACAGTTCCTGGTGCCTGACTGAGCTCAGTAAGTGGCAGTTATTATGATTATTATAGTCATTCTGTAAGCAAACAGCTCTTATAAAGCATTCCCTTAAATAACCCTGCTAATAATTACAGACACGCAGTTTCTACATCTCCTATCAATCTTAAACCATCTTAGAAAAGTGCTTTAGATTTAGCATATGTTTATCTATTTGGGTTAAAAATGTCAAACCTCACTCTGCTTTTACTTAAATACTGACCTATTGCAATTCGGTATCAAGTAACTTTTGCCATCTTGCAAAGAGACACTTTGCACGGCTGGGCTCTGGGTGCACAAGAGAACTAAGTAGGGGGATAGAAACATGCTTCAGGAACTTTCCCCAGAAAAGGGAATTTCTTGACCCAAGGACAGACAAGTTATCGTAACTGATTCTAACCTATCAGGTGGCAGACAGTTCATACACTCCTTTTGGAAAGCAGAGAATTCACAAGGAGACAAATAAGCTTCCCCCACCATTTCGGGAAGAAATTATTTTTCTAGGCCACCAGGATAGTGGCGGTACTTGAGCAAATGCATGAAAGCCTCGATGTACCTGGTAATTTATAACCAAAGAAGAAATTCATTTTCCACAGGCTAATTTTTTCCCTCTCGGCTTCTACTTCTAATTCAGCCATTAGGCATCATTGCTTTCATATTCTCCATGCGTCTTAAGTTTGCTCCCCACAAGCATTCCAAAAGAAATAATTGTGGGGTACAAAGTGTTTGTGAATGATCCTTCTGTGGGCCATTGATTTCCAATCCTCTTTCTTCCAGTTCTTCTGTGATTCTAGACTGGAAACCATGAGCTTCAGCATCAAGTCAAGGAAGCTGTGAAAATGTTAATAACCCAACAGGTCCAAAGCATCCATATTTGTCTTACAGAAAGCAAAATGTCTAATGCCTGAAAGTGCCTGACAATTTAAAGACATTCAACAAAGTGTTAATGACTGAATAATTCAGATGTACCTCTGACTGATAAAAAATGTTAAAGTCCTTTTTGAATAAGAGTGTTGTAATATTTAACTTTCAACAAAATAATCATAAGCCCTGAGGTGGGTTAACTACAATTTTCTAGATGTACCTCTGACTGATAAAAAATGTTAAAGTCCTTTTTGAATAAGAGTGTTGCAATATTTAACTTTCAACAAAATAATCATAAGCCCTGAGGTGGGTTAACTACAATTTTCTAGAAAATCATGAGGAATGAGCTTCCTTACATTACTCTGGTGTTTATTGACCTCCATGGCATGTTTGACTTCTGGTGGCTCCTTCATATGGGCATAATCCGAGAATCCTTTGGCAGCATCATGTTTCTGCTTGTAGACAACCTTAAAAAACACAAATAATTGTCAGTTCCATTTAGAGGTGTATTAAATTCTTACCTGGTAAATTTCAGTATTTAGCTAGGATTTTATGTATTTGATACCATCACTGAGAATTAAATTTGCTTACACCTCTGCAACAACATAATATCCATAAGGTTTTCATCTTAGTGCTTCAGTTTACTCTTAATTCTAAGTCTTTATTGTTTATTTCAAAATGTCCTTGATCAAAGATGAAATCCCCACTTCTATTCATCTTCTGTTCATCTAGTTTAAATCTCAGCTACAGTTTTGAGAAATCATCCACATCCAAGAACTTTCAGGGTTATAAATGTTTAAGATTTAAATCTTGGGAAAACAAGTAGGAGGAAATTATAGGATATTGGAAAGTGAATTGTTTATTTTTTAATGAATGGGTCTGATTTTATGTAGACATAGCGATAATATAACATAAACCTCATTAAATGCCCAAACTTTGGGGAGAAAATATAACAGGCAGAAAAATTTCTCACATATGTCAAGACTTGTCCTCCATTAGGGAAATGAACATCATACCAATACCATCCATGACCGCCATGTTGAATTTGCTCTATATTGGGATTAATTTGCTCCATACTGGCATAAGAAAGATACCTCAGAAAAAGATGTACTCAAACTCAGCAATGAAGTTGGGAATTAATGAAGACCAAGAAGACAGCAACAAAGTTATCCCCTTACTCTCAGTTGATAACATTATCCTATTTATTTTCTTCACAATTTTTAATAACTTTATTTTTATAAAATTACCTATTGTCTGTCTTCTCTTCTTAAAACATAACTGCCCCATCCACTGAATCCTCAAAACCCAGAATAGTGCCTGGCACAAAATTAACTTCAGTGAATATTTGCTCAGTGAATGAATAAATTAATGAATGAATAACTTAATGAGAACAGAATAATAGTAAATGAAGGAAGGAAGGGCAAGATTAATTTTCAAATACATTAAAATTTTAATAATAAAAATAATAAATAGAGTTGTAATTACTTGGCATGAGAGAGTAAAGGTAACTTAAAAAGAAAAACTAGAACGATCTTCACCCAAAACAAAACAAGGTCTAGTTTTCAATGAAAAAGAATGTAGTTAAATTTAAAGAACTTTTAACCAATATGAGCTCCTTGAGAGCTACGTCTATATCTTTCACATCTTTTAATACCCTGTGCCTGTCACAGTGAATGACAGAGTAGAAATGCAATAAATGTTTAATGAATGGATGAATTAATGAGTTTATTAGACACTCTCATGAACTTAAACTCCTAATAGGCTTTTATAAACAGAATTAACCACTCACTTAACTTAGATAACCTATCTAAAGGATTGAATTGAAAATTATAAAACTAATTTTTACAAATAAAATCACTGAATCTTATCATCCAAAAAAAAAGCCATCTAGTACATCTATCAATGTTTAAATCACCTCTCTTGCTCCCCACTTAGTTTTTCTTAAAAGTATCTGCTGAGAGAGAACTCGACTTGGGAAATGACAGGCTCTAAATTTTGAAAGCTCTGATTGAAAGTTCTTCCACTAATCAAACCCCAATCTATCTCCCCATTTGTGGCCATATGGAAAGAGCCCAGTTGACAGGACAGAACTTCCAAGGTGAGAAGAGAGCCTTTATGACAGGCTCTAAATTTTGAAAGCTCTGATTGAAAGTTCTTCCACTAATCAAACCCCAATCTATCTCCCCATATGTGGCCATATGGAAAGAGCCCAGTTGACAGGACAGAACTTCCAAGGTGAGAAGAGAGCCTTCAGTGACTTCTATTTCTCCAGACTGTCTTCAGGGATTAATTCACTAAATTGAACAACCTAGATGCTCTCTTCAGCCCAAATCCCAATTTAACCATCTCTTTCTCAAGGTGCCCATGATTGTCTGCCCAATCCTAATTAGAATTGCTTAATTTAATCCAGGTTATCATCTCCCACATGCTAAATGCTATTCATGCCTCGATGGGTCACATCACTTTCCTTTTAATGGCTGGTGTTGAGATTTCCGTCAACTAATGCCCTTAATCTTATTCAGTCCCACCAAGCCATGTTCCATCATCCAATCCTATCTATTTGGTTGATTACCAGGACTCAAATGCAGCACCTCACATTATGCTAGGCATAATTCATCTTGTTAGAGTCTATCAATTTAATCTATCAGCATATCCAATTCTGGTGAACATATATATTTAAACTTTTATCAATGAATTATGTTAAGTAGAAAATCTTTTAAGAACCTCCATTCAGGTTGAGAAAGTCCATTATCTCAGTTCCATTACATTCTATATTATAACTTTGAAGAGAGGAAGAAGGATTTTAATGTGTGTCCAAGTCCATAAAGCCAAGGGAAATTTTCTTTGAGATTTGATCCTTCTTAAATAAAACAAGCTAGTGTGTACCCATCTTCCTTTTGATGGATGCCTGGTTTATTTCGTATTTTGGACAGACTGTCATACTTGTGACTTCATAAACACAACCAATGCAGCTGACCATTTGGTAGGTTATCATAGAAACAGTGACTCATCAAGCACAATTTTAAAAAGCACTCTTTCTTAAAAAGGCTATGTAATTTTCTACGTGCAGCATTAAAATAGTCATTTCATTTATAGCTGCTACTAAGTACCACTTTGGAATTAAGATTACATCAAATTGGAGGCAGCTGAACTTTAACTTATCATATTAATTTTCTTCCTTAAAATAGCTAATGGGCAATTGTGTAGAGCTAATAATTTTTCTGATAAATTTGATTTCTTAGGATTTGTTTCTATTGCATGACATTTCCCTAGATTAATACGGTTTTTTTTAGCCTTTGAGAACTAAGATTGCTATGGGACTGGGCACCTAGAGACGTATATATAAATATATTTACATAAGTAATATATACATTTATTTTATATATTTGATCTTATAGTATATTTTTATATCATATGTACATAAATAAGATATACATATGTGTTTAACTTACAGTATATTTTATATGCACTGCATAGGTAAATGTGCTTTTAATCCCATAATATAGACACCTCTGAACTCCTGAAATAGGACCCTGTGGACACATAGACTCTTATAAATCTCCACAGTTCAGATGCCTGGGTAGTTGGTATCACTTCTGTGATAAGGAATTATTTAGCCTTTGCCTGAAACAGTCCTCATGAGAAGGATCTCACCACCTCAGGGCACAGTCCACTCCATTTTAAGAAGCTTTCTTTGTGATCTTTGTTTATAAAATGTTTAATAGGGGATAGCTACTAAAATGGTCCCTTAAAAACTCCACATTCTCTCTCTCTCTTTTTTAAATGGCATTTCTTCCTATCACTCATTTTTTATAAGGAAGTTTTAATCTACCTACCTTTACCTTATCACTCTAGTTTGAATGTAAGCGTCTGAGAGGGTTTGCAAATTGGTTTTAAGATAAAAGTTTGTTTTACTAGTTTGTCAAAAGTTTAGGAAACTTTTCATTAGAACCCAGAATGCCATTAAATTTCAGAATACATCTAATACTCTAATTTAGGTTACTACAAATCTGGTACTATTTGGACCCAGTAAAATTGTAGTTGTTTAAGTATCACAGACACTGTCAAATAGTTCTTCTACTTTCTTACCTCCCTTATTACCAGATAAACTCTGAGAATTACTATTTTAACAATAATAAAATTGATGCACGTATGTCTAAAGAAATGTTATTATGATTATGTAAATCTCTGAAATAGATACCATATTCAGAATCCAAATTTTTTCCTTCCTAACTAGTGCAGTGACTTATTACAATAATGGAAAGCACCACTAATCTCTTTCCCAGTGGTGTCCATTCTACTATTCTAGCAACACATGTTAACAATGTAAGTGATAACCTATTCTGACAAAAATATGATAGACTGCAAAATATAAAATATGGATTATTTTTCATGTTAAGTTCTATGTCACAAGCATACACGTACGATAGGCCTACCTATGCTATAAAAAGGTGAGAAAAGTTGTGTGCTTCCAAAGAAATGAGAATGTCAGTATCTGAAATGTTACTTTCCCAAATAAGTATAAAAATAACATAATTTTTTTTCTTTATTGCATAATTGTTGCTTGTCACACATCAAGGGTTGTGTTGTAATTATTTGCTTTTCAAAGCAACCCATATTATCAGCAAGTGGCTAGGTGACCAGATGTTTCCAGGAAAAATAAAGGGTGTATCAGTCATGGTCAGCTATGCAAAAACTTGACATCATATATTTTTAGCCTCATGTTGCATAGCTGAGATTAGCTTACTGCAAAGTTGGGTACAAAGTGGACGTTTAAATTTGTAATAATGGAGTACTTAAAGATGTTCTGCAAAGGATAACTATGCTCAGTATTTTCTAAGAGTAACTATTTTAAATTATGAGTATCCTCTACTTAAAAGTAAAAAAAATCTTAGGAAAGAAGTAAACTTGTTTAATAAAAAAAAGAGCGAGAAAAAATGGTAAGAAAGAGGTGGTATACTGTGTGGTGAAGAATCCAGACTCTGGAACCAAACTGCCCCTGTTCATGTGCTAGCTCTGCCATTTCCTGGCTGTGTGACCTTGGGCAAGTTACTTAACCACTCTGTGCTTCAGTTTTCATATATCTAAAATGGAGATGCCTTATGAGGTTGTAATGAGAAATAAATGACATAGATTTTTGTGAAATGCATAAAATAGCACCTGACACATAGTGAGAACTTCTTTTTGTGAAGAATATAATCTCTATAAAAGGAAGCATATCCTGAAAAAGGAAATCAACAAAAGTCCATTTTACCAGTATTTACTAAACCCTCCCTATGTGCCAGGGACTGTTCTAAGCAAGGGAGGTAAGCAGGGAGCAAATAGATGCGTTTCTTTCTCTCATGTAGCTTAGAGAACCAAGGAACAGATTAACAAAATAACAAAAAGAAAAAAAAATCAGACAAAAAGAAAAAAATTCAGAAGAAAACAAAACAATAAGATGATATCAGAAAGATGCGAATTATTCAATTTTGAAATTCTTTTTTAAGAAAGGCAGTAGATTAAATGCATTAAGAAAGCCCTAACTCCTGATGTGCTATAAAGGGAAAATTACCCCTAAACTTTTCTGGTTTCAAAATGAGTTTACATGACAACAGTTCTTAAGTTTGTCTGCAACTTAGTCACAAAAATTGCCATTTCCACCTGAAGGAGGCTCTTTTTGATAGCCTGAAATACTCTTAAAAACACAATCCACAGAAAAGAAAATTCAGGAGACACTTTCTAATTGATATAACCTGTGGATCCCGAATTCAACCATTAACAATTTACGTGACTTTGAACATGCTATTGAAATGTTCTCCACTTCGGGATCATACATTAAATCAGAGAATAGTTTAATATTTACTATAAGAATTTCATCTATGTACGCTGCCTAAATAAGATTAAAATTTGCCTTATAAATAGTGGTGAATGAGACTTGGAAAAACGGCATCACGTGACTGATATAAACATGCATGTACTTTTCATTTTCTGCAATTTCACCAGCAACCCCGGACAGCACATAAACCAGTTGCGTCCAACTCTCATTTGGCATTTAATACCCAAGATAAACAACTTTTATTAAAATGCTAAATAATTTGTATGAGGTTATATGTTTGATCTACATAATTATATCACAATTTAGGGAAACCGCACCTCACTCTGAAGCTGTGTAACCTCTCTTGCAAAGACACTGTCGATTGTGGCTGGCATCCGCTTATAAAGAGAATTGGAAAGGTCCGCTTTAATGGTGCCTTTGTATTTTGCCTAGGGTAAGAAAAAGAAAAAAAAATTAAACATTTCTTTTTTTTTTTTTACTGTGAATATAAAAAGAAACTTTTTTCAGAAACAGAATTGATACAAAAATCTGCTAATGACTGTAATTTTAGATTCTAGACTGACCATTGTGAAAAGATAAATACAATTTGTCATGGAGAAAGCTCCAAATGATATGTGCTAGGACATAACGACTACTCTTCTATTTAAACCCATGTATATTTCCAAAAGTAAATCTATTTGTGTGTATTGACAGTTTCATATGTTTGATGAGTGAACAATTTGAGAACAATGAGACATTTGAGTTGTTCCAGAAAAATACACGTCGTTAGAATTTACTGTCTAGAACTCGAACACAAATGGCAATGTTCCTTAATTCAAGTCTTCTCAACCTCCCCCTGCTACAGTGGGAGGTGGGGGTGCTGTTTTGTTGGTTTTCCACCTCAAATCTGCACTGTTTCTAAGCAATCTCAGTCATTAGTGATAAAGACAAACACTCATTCACCATTTCCTCTTGGGAAAATTAGGTTCAAGGGTGCTGCCCACTTCCAATATTTTGTTCTGCAGTTAACTCCGTCAGGAAAAGTAATCAATAACTGAGGACACCAAGAATTTCTCTGCACAGGAGAACTAACACAGCTAACACAAATAAACAGAACCGTGTCCTTCCCATGATTCTATAGATGAGTCCCTAATGGTCTTTCCACTCAGAGCTAGGTTTGAACATTGAATATTGAGCATATATCCTATTGTAAGCCTTCTGTTTCCACAACTGTTTGGATTTGGTACTTTGTAAAAGAAAATGTACTGATTTTCCTCAAAATTGTTTCATGTTTGCAGGAATAATCGTTAGAACATCATGTTGATCTTTTTCCAGCATAACTTAAGAAACACTAGAGGTCAGTCATTTACAACACTATTTTATCCACTCCCTTTTCAAGTTTATCTCTTCTAAGTGATCTACTCACAGACCACAGCAAGGCCTCATCACAGAAATCACTGTTAACACTGTGCCCTACAATGCTCCACAATGCAGCATAAACTGCAGTTCGAAATGCTCTCAGAAAGTCAGGATTTTCCAGCTGGAAATGAAGATAGTGGATTTCTCACTCTGTGGTTTCATAATAGGTATCTCTGTTGAGCTGATGTTATCCCACTCAAAAATAGTTTAAATTAACTTAAAATTATTTATCAAAGATGTCACATTTTATGGAATCAGCTGGTAAAATTTTACTTATTTCCAACATGATATTCAACAGTTTACCTGTAACAAGTCTATTAGGAAATAAAATAATGGAACTTCTAAAACTAACTACAGTATTTTGCCAGTGCTTTCTACTTACTAAATAAAAATATCATTTTTCAAGAGTAATTCTACATAAATAAGAAAGGGTTAGAGTCAAAATAAAGACATACATAATAAATATATCAACCATGGACAGTAAATTTTATCAATTTACGTGAGTTAACTGACATAGTGTGTAGTATTAGATAATCATACAGATATTACCAACATTCAAGAGAGTTTTTGAAAATATTCTTCTCTAACTTTAATACACAGACTTCTATCTATGTAAATAGAGAAAAGGTAATAAATATATCAACCATGGACAGTAAAATTTATCAATTTACGTGAGTTAACTGACATAGTGTGTAGTATTAGATAATCATACAGATATTACCAACATTCAAGAGAGCTTTTGAAAATATTCTTCTCTAACTTTAATACACAGACTTCTATCTATGTAAATAGAGAAAAGAAAAGCGCAAGCCATTTTGCAAGTTTTGGATACCTTACCTCAGAAATAAAAGCGCCAATATTTTTTACATGGTTTAGCATAGGAGTGTCAGTCACAAATGTACACTTGTCCTTAGACTTTTTATATTCCTCTTTATAACGAATCTAAAAAACAGAATAGTATATATAAGAAGAGAAAGAAGAAAAACCATTGCGATGGCCTTTTTTGAACAGAGAAGTTGATCACGTCTATTTTCTGAAGTAAATATTCAAATGCGGAATGATCCTCAAAATAAGCCAGGTCACATAAGTGGAAATCCAGCACAGAATTGCAAAGGGGATGAGACATAGTGAGGAAAGACTGTTCTTTAACAGGGTCCAGTTATCATTAAGGATCAACACTGAGTCTGTTGGGCCCCAGACTATGGGTCCTGTGTGCCCAGAGTAATTATCAAAAATACTCCATCTCACCCCCACGAGTGTCCTAGTTTATTGTTACTTTCAAGCCACTGACCTTAAGAGTCAAGCCTATGGTCAAACAGAAACATAGCTGCCTACCTCAAGTTAGAAAAAAAAGAAAGCCTATTGTGTGGTGGATGGAGATCATTCCAGAAAGCCCCCTTGCTGTGGGCAGGCAGATCAGCAAGAGGAAGCCCAGAGAGAGAGGCTTCGTTGAGCATGTTCATTTCTTCTCTCAAATTCACAGTAAAATGAGTCACTTCCTATCTCTGGGGGAGAGAGAGGCCAGCACTCTCCCCCTGTATGGACATATGAGCTCAAAAGAAGTCAAGAAATATGGAGAAGGACCTAAAATGTAACCCAACTGTCAGGCGAATTGCTGCACAATCTGGAAACTGGGGAGACAAAATTTATGAGTACTTAAGAGGATGGAGGTAATTTGCTAAAAGTTATATCACCCTGTAATAAAGTCATGTTTATCTACCCAAGACTGTAAATACTTAGGCTGAAAGAAGTGTCTCAGTTCAGACAATAAATTATATGGTCTCCCTAATTATAACCCATAAGTGAAGTTAAAGTGTATATACTACCTGGCTCTTAGAGAACATGACTAATATTGATGTTACACCAAATGCTACATGGAGATTTTACCATGTGCAAACCTGATTTGAGGGGCATTACCTGACACGAGCTAGAACCAGACACAAATCCATCAAGTAAATTCAAAATACCACACTTCACTGCTGGGACTCTTAGATGTCAGATGCCTCCCACATTAAACATTTGCTTTATTCATAAAATCAACATGAGAACATATTTATCTTATCGGAGCACTAAATTACCTTTTTCTTCTCCGAGATTAGCCATAATTTTAGGTTCTCACAAATCACCCTCCTTAGTCCCTAGTAATTAAACTGTTAATGGCAGTATGATAAATCGTAGGCTATTTTGATCACAAGGTGAAAAAAACAGTATCTCCGTTATATAATTAAGTGTGAGAGAACATAACCTATCATTAGGCTAAAGTTGGAATCATTATTTTTATCTCTTGCCACTATCTTTTCCCATCACATTCACTTCTTCACTGCAGTGGTATGTGCTTATGGCTACAGCCCTCCTGATAAAGCCTGACATAAGCGGAATGTCGAGGACAGGAACACTGGATAAGGGTGAAGTATTTGCTTCTTTTGCTGAACAGGCAGATAGTTCAGTCTTAACTGTGGACTCCATTTCTTTCTTCGGTCGTTATTAAAAAGATACGGACTTTAGTATCTTTAAATTTAATAAGTATTTAAAAATTTAAGATCAATTTGCTTATTGTCATTCATACTGTGAAATTCATTAGAAATCACACAAGCGCACACACACCACTATGTGTGTATGTGCGCATGCACTTGTATGATTTCTAATGAATTTTACAATATAAATGACAATAAGCAAAAGATCTTAAATCTCTATATTAAGAATGTTACATATTAGTAGCTTTCCTACACCAGGATCTGCAGAATGATAGATGAAAAGGAACTGCATTCATCAACGATGCACATCTTAGGAGAAATTAAAATCACTGAACAGATGGCTATTTCTTATTATAACCTTTTCTACATCTAACAATCCAAGGTTGGTGCCACCTGTTGGATAGATTTCCTACCCACTCTCCTTCTGTCCTACTAACAGACCCTGAGTGGATTCATGAGTAGCCAGACCCCTACCCCAGCCCCAAAGGACAAATTGATCTACACCAGGCATGGTCGTGTCATTCTCTTTGGCCAGTGATTGGCCTAGGGAGGCCAGGTGCCCAGCTCTGTCTGTGACACATTAGTGGAAGTCTTCCCAGCAGTCGTTCTGGTGTCTCTCATGTAAAGGAAGAGATTTTGCAAAGCCCTTTGACAATGCCCTTTCTACCTTTTTCCTTCCCCAGTCACAGGGGGGCAGCAGAAACGATGTCCTCCTAAGGCAAGAAGCCACCATGCTAACGATGGCAGAGCAGAAGGAAAGGAGCCCAAGAGACTAATAACATCCACTGTACCGAGACTGAACCACCTACCTCCAGGCTTTATATGGTGGGGTGGGGAGAGGGGGAGATCTCAAGCATCTATTTATTAAACCACTATGTTAGGGTTTTCTTGTTACTTGCAGCCAACTGCACTCATAATCAATACATGACCTGACCCAACGTATTTTCAAATTGAAAAAAAAAAAAAAAAAAGGACAAAGTTGATGGCTTTACAAACATTAAGATGTCCCAAACACTCACTTTCTCCTTTGACCTTACTCACTAATCCCACAATGTCTCAACTACAATTAGGGTTAAATTAGTTTAGTATTGTTTCCTCCTCCTGGCCAAGTTTCTTTCAATGAGTTCAAGATTAGCTAATAGCTGAAACTGGATGACAGATGTGGAAATGTTGGATGATATTTCACTTTACAATCATTCTTAACTGAAATAATCTAGAAGACTTTTCACAAATGAAATCATACCAATTAAACTCAGTAAACCCTGGAAGAAAGAACTGCAGCTCCATCACTATTTGTTAACTGGCCCGGTCATCGTCAAGGTTGCTCTCCCAGGTTTTCTAACACATTCTGAGCTTTCTCTAAAGAAGTAGCCACAGAATTCAATGTTTTCAGCATTGGAAGGATTTGCCCACAAACAATGTTCATTTGCCTGGAAAATGTTCTTCTCACTGCCATGCAAATGAACACCCTAAAAAGCTTTGAACCAAAACATTGAGTCAGAGGCTGTGTGCAGATGTGGCCAAACTTACTCTGCAGAAGACTCTTTATGCCTAATTTACAAGAAACATACAAAAAATTGCCCTCTCGCCCAATATTTTTTATGACCTCTTGTCAGAAGGCTACTAGAGCCATGATTCTGAATGCTCCATAGAGTGAACAGGTTTCATTTACTCAAGAAATTGATTAGATATTTGACTAATAAGATGAAATATCAGAGAGAATATATCCAGGGAAATAAAAAGTGGTAGTTATGTGGTTAACAGAAAAATACAAGAGGCTGCCTCAAAGAACATGTGTCCTTCAAGATTGGGAAGCGAGTTTGGTAGAGGGAAACCCCACAATGTGTGTGGGTAGAGCAAGTGTGAGCAGAAACTCAGTGAGGCAAAAAAATAAATAAGCAAAAAAAAATGCCTTGTGCTGATCCCCAGAGCGAAGCCACTTGACCTGAAAAACTGACATTTCTCTCTGTGGAGAATTCTAAACAGTGCAGGCCTCCCAAGACTGATCTCTAGACTGATCTTACTTAACATTTCTATAAATCGTCTGGCAGGGGGATGCTACGGCATAGTCTACAGTTGACTGATGACCCCTCGCTCTCTCGCAGAATGAAATGGCAACCGAAAGAGACGAACCGCGGGTGCTCTCAAAGGGCCGGGCCAGAGGGCACAAAACTACAGATTAGATTCATCAGCAGAGAGGTTAAAATCATTCAAATTACTATTTTTAAAAACATATTGTTTAGCTTTATGTGGTTTTGAATGTTTATAGTGCTCCTGTCACCAACCCTTGTGTTTGGTGGTTTTGTATTTTGCAGCTGTCCGGTGCAGGGATCCGAACCCGTGAACTTGGTGCTACAAGGTGGTGTTCTACCCACTTGAGCCAAACAGTCAGCCATCAGATTTCTACTAAAAGATGATGAGCCCAAAGTTATCAGTTAAAGTCAGAAATTAGAGGTGAAAATGGCTCTGATGTCCTACAGAGATTGATCTAACAGCTTTCTGCAGCCCCCAAGTTCAAGAAACTCTAAATAACATCACTAAGAAAAGCAACATCAAACATCACCCTATTCTGCTCATAATCACAGGCCATCTGCATCTGGACTGCTGTGCACAGTTCTGGTTACCACACCCTGATAAAAACAGATGAAGGCTGGAAGAGGTCCAAAGAGGGATAATTTGAATGACGAAGTGCATGCAGAAAGGCTGCTCCACGAGGAGAACCCCATAAAACCACCCTTCTCATTTAAAAGATGAGGCAGGCACTGGACTTAGCTGGACCTAAGCTTAAACCGTGTCCACACCCCCGACTAGCCAGGTGGCCTTGGACAAGCTTCTCAACCTTGGGTTTCACACTTGGGAACTGAGGCTCATAAAATTTATGGCATAGGTTTGCTGTGACATGGAATACAAAAATGCACGTGGCATGCCTGGCACACGGCAGGGGAGAAAGGACATCACAACAGCCAAGTCTTGAGAGTCAGACAGACCTTGTTTCAAACCCCAGGTCCGTAGCTCCCTAGCTGTGTGACTTGATCTACGGCATGGGAGGTTGCTGCTTTAAGCTTCAGGATGTAAGACTTTGCAAAGCAGGCAAACAACATGCCAAATTCACTTGGTGACAGAGGCTGAAAACAAAATTGCCTTCAAACAAACAAAAAGGATCAGGGAAACACATGGCTGCACTTCTGGCACATAATAGATTATAAAGCAAAACTAAGGTACTTGCAAGTTTGTGTTTAAATTTAAGTTTGAGACCAGGGGGAAAAAACCTGGTGCACTAAATTAAATGTGGGGCACTAACATATGGGCACAATCAGAAATACAATACAGGCTTGACTGGAACTTGGGTCTCACGTAGTGTGGCAATGCCTCAGTTTTTAGATCTGTTTTAACTCCAGGACTGATGCATTTTGGACAACCATCTAGCCATGCAGACAACATAACAGACAGAAGAACTTCAAAGTTAAGTTTGTCTGTTCCTTGGGCCGGCCCGGTGGTGCACTGTGCTAGTGCGCCACTTGGGAAGCGCGGAGGCGCTCCC